GAGATGCCACGCTTGAACAGTTCGTCGCCAACGATTACGAATTTAGCCGACCTGCCCCTCATCTTCCGAGCTTCATCTTTATCCTCGGGTAAAGTTCCTTCCTTCAAGTAGTTCTAGATGCCTGTCATCCATCCCTAGTTTTCGTTGTTGCTGGTGTTGACGACCTTGTCGTCTAGGCTAGGTGAATGCAAGGTTTCCTGGATGATGGTCCGATGTTGTCCAGGGCATTTGGTGCTAGCAAGTTTTGATAGGAGGTCAGCCCTGGTATTCTGTTCTCGCGGTACATGATGTATAGTGAATTCATCGAAGGCCGAGATCTGTTGTGATGCCATATGGAAATACCGTTGCTGGAGAGTATCCTTGGCCTGGTATGTTCCGCTGCGCTGCTCTACCATGAGTTTTGAGTCGCTATTGCAACTCAATCTTCGTGCCCCGAGGTCGCGAGCCAGTCTTAGCCCCGCAAGAAGCGCCTCATATTTCGCCTGGTTGTTGGTTACCTTGAAGCTGAACTTGAGGGATTGCTCCAAAGTGACCTGATTCGGTCCTTCCAAGATGATTCCTGCACCACCACCCTTAGAGTTGGAAGACCTATCAACATGCAAAGTCCATACCTGTGGTTCATCGGCCGAGGTTGGTGTCAGTTCGGCTACGAAGTCGGCCAAGCATTGAGCTCTCAGAGCCCCGTGACTTTCAACTGGATGTCGAACTCAGACAACTCGACTGACCACTCTATCATTCGTCCGGTGAGCTCTAGCTTTCTCAAGATTTGCTTGATGGGGTAGTCGGTCTTGACGACCACTTGGTGGCTCTGAAAGTAAGGTCGGAGACGCCAAGCTGCAATAACAAGTGCTAGTGCCAGCTTCTCGATCATCTAGTATCGTTTCTCCGTGTCTTGGAGTACTCGGCTGATGAAGTAGATTGGTGTGTGCACTTTCTGGTGCTCTTGTACTATAACCGCGCTGATGGCGCTTTCTGCTACGACCAAGTAAAGGAGGAGTTTGGCTTTGTGATCCGGCCTCTATAGGATTGGCGGGGTTGTGAGGAAGGTTTTGAAGCTTTTGAAAGCCTCTTCGCACCGGTCAGTCCATTCGAAATTTTGCGGCTTGCGCAACAGGGTGAAGATAGGCCCCGCTTTCTCTGCTAGCTTGGGGATAAAACGGGACAAGGAGACCAACCTTCCTGCCAAGCATTGGAATTCCTTCACAGTTTGAGGGCTCTGCATCTAGATGATGGCTTTTCACTTCTCCGGGTTGGCTTCGATCCCCTTGTTAGTGATCATGAATCCGAGGAACTTACCTCCTTGGACGCCGAAGACGCACTTTTCTGGGTTGAGGCGCATGTTGTGCTTCCTAATCTGGCTGAACACCTCGGCCAGGTCGGCAGCATGTGCTTCGACTGAGATGGTTTTGACTACCATGTCATCGACGTAGACCTCCATGTTTCGTCCGATCTGCTGGTGGAAAACCATGTCCATCAGCCGCTGGTAGGTGGCCCCTGCGTTTTTTAGACCGAAGGGCATCACTTTGTAGCAGTAATTGACATGATCGGTGATGAATGATCTGTGCACCTCGTCTGGTGGGTACATCATTATCTGTTTGTACCCGGAGTAAGCGTCAAGGAAACTGAGCAGGGCGTGCCCGGATGCTCCATCAACCAGCCTGTCGATGCTCGACAAGGGGTATGAGTCCTTGGGGCATGCTTTGTTCAGGTCGGTGTAGTTGACGCACATGCGCCACCTCCCCGAGCTCTTTTTTACCAATATCACGTTTGCCAGCCACGTGGTGTATCTGACCTCACGGATGAAGCCGACGTTTAATAACTTTTGCGTCTCGGCGATGATGGCCTCCCGCCTTTCACCGCCGACCTTCCTCTTCCTCTGGGCCACTGGCCTTGCCTCCTTGCGGATTTCCAACCTGTGACAGATGAAGTTAGCATCTATACCTGGCATGTCGGCGCTGGACCACGCAAAGAGGTCGGCGTTCTTGGAGATTTCAGCTTCGTGCTGTTGCCGTAACTCTGGGTTCAACTGCTTGCTGATTTTTGTACACTTCCTAAGAAGCTTCCCGATCTGTAAGTCATCAAGCTCGTCGATGGGACTCGGTCATTCATCATGGGAGTCAAACCTCGGGTCGAGGTCAGTGATGTCCACGTGGGTGATGTGAGCCACTGTGGGGGGATCGCTCTGGCAACGCTCGTCGGAGGGAGAAACTTTTAGACTTTCGGCGTAGCACTGCCGAGCCGTCTTCTGGTTTGCCTTGACAGAGATGATCTTGCCATCATTCCTTGGGAACTTCATGGTGAGATGTGGGGTAGATACCACTGCTCCGAGTTGGTTCATCGTCTGTAGGACATGTTGGCTTCTACGAGGAGGTATCGGACCATAATCCTCCTCGTGGCGGGAGATGTTCTGAAGGTTGTTAGAAGGTCCACATATCCTCGAGTGTGTACTCGCTCTCCTGCAAAACCGACTAGGGGCTCTGTGTGAGGTTGGATAAGGGAGTGAGGGATATCTAACCTGAGGAACGTCGACCAATACAAGACGTCAGCCGAGCTCCCTTGGCCAATCAACGTCTTGTGGACCTCCTAATTTGTGACCTCCACGGCGATGATCATTGGATCATCCTGGTTGGGGCTGACGCCAACGTAGTCGTCGTTAGTGAAGGTGATCGGCGGCGAGCTTTGATGCGAGGCCGAGGTAGCGGAGTGGACATTGTTGATGTTGCGCAAATGTCGTTTACGCGCCAAGCTACTAAAACCTCCCCCTGCGAAGCCACTTGCAATTGTGTTGATGACGCCCCACAAGGGGGCTGATCCCTGTTTCCTGGCTTACCTCGGCCTGCACTGCGCCGCCAGCGTTTTGTTGAGAGCTAAAGGGTTGGTTTGTGCGTGCTCCTGAACCACGACCTCTTCCTTATCCTCGTCCATTGTATCCTCCTCGGTGGCCTTGCTGCCGCTGGACGTATTGCGCAAGATGTCCCGCCTGGACGAGTTCCTCTATGCGATCTCTGAGGGTGCGACATTCCTGAGTGGTGTGACCATGATTCCTGTGGTGTTTACAGTGCTTGGATTTGTCTGCACTGTTGGGGCTGTGTCCTGGTGGTGGCAGGGTGAGTAGGTTGTTGTTGCTGGCCTCCTCTAGGATATGTACTCGGGGCGCATTCAAGGGGGTGTAGAAGTCGTACCTCCCCCCTTTATTTACCCTAGTCGTCTTCTTGAACTGACTATTGTTGTTGACTTTCACCTTGTCCTTGTGACCGTTGTCAGGTTTCGCTTGTGATTTTCTGCGAACCTGGTCACGAAAAGCGGAGTGTTCCTCCATCTGTATGTACCCAGCAGTACGGGCACGGAGCTCGTCCATGTCGTGAGGAGCTTCACGACATAGGCTGTCGACAAACGGTCTGGGCTTGAGTGCCATGAGCATGGCGTGTAAGGCGACCTCGAGATTCAAATTTTAGATTTTCACCGAGATGCGGGCAAAGCGTTCCATGAACGTCCGTAGTGGTTCGTCGTCGCTCTGTCTGAGACTAGCCAGGGTAGTTGACGTTATGTGATAAGGTCGGCTCGTTGCGTACTGCATCGTGAACTGTCGGACCAGAGTGTCGAAGCTGTCAATCGACTCGGCAGGTAGCTGGGTATACCAGTTGAGTGCAGCCCCCTTGAGCGAGGTCATAAAGACCCTACACGGAATAACATCCTCATTAGTGTAAAGGTTTACCTGTGTAGTATATAGGTCGATGTGCTCGTCTGGATCCGTCGTGCCGTCGTAACGGTCGATGTGGAGAGGCTTCCATCCAAAAGGGAGAGGTGTTTCCATGATACCATCCACAAAAGGATGACGGCGAAAGGTTGTTTGATTTCCGTGACGTGGGCAGGAGCATTTCTGACGTCATGGGCCAACCTGTTCGTTGGTGCGTGGGACCGATGTGTGGCAGGCCTGGGAGTTGGTGCCCTAGTTGTTGTCGGCGGTTGAGAAACCAAGTGCCCCTCTTCCTCGTGCAGGTTACTCGGTGGAGGGGGTTGATCAGAGGGACGCCGAGGGAGCTGAGCACGAATACGCTCATTCTCAGCGCGCAGCGCCGCTAGGTCAGCTTCATTAGCGGTACGCATCGCTGCTAGGTCAGTTTCGTGCTTGGCACACATGCTTTGCAGATCGGCGGTGTGTTGCTGTCGCATCTGCTTGACTTGTTCGATCACTCTCCTCAATGCTGCTTCGTTGTCCATGCTGGTTGCGTGATCTAGGTCGTCTGTTGCGCGTCTGCTATGACTTTTAGTGAGAACCATAAGCGTGGCCGATAAGAGCTGTCTCGATCGGCCCCATGGTGGGTGCCAAATGTTCTTATCGGAGATCGGTCGTAGGGGACAATCTGCTGGGTAAGATTGGTGAGCCTCCTTCACTGGTACGCTGGTTGTTCCAAGGTGGGGGTGGTACCTGCAAAAGAGACTCCGATGCTCAAGTTAGGGTTTGTGGGAATATGAGTCTCGTATAAGTAATGCACGTACCTTAGTGTGAATTAGGGTTTCGTTGGGCCTTGGGCCTGAGATCAGTTACGATCTTCTTTGGATGTCGAGCTGACGTCATCTAGCGCATGCCCGAGGTCCCTCCATACTGAGATGCCGAGCTGGAGCTCGGTGTAACGGTACGGATAGTACAATAATAAATTATTCACTTTTTATAATTAATAAGTTAAAATTTACATCAATAATAATTTTTGATCGATTGAGAACATAAATTATGAGTGCTTCACCTTTTAACTTATAATTTAAATACCTACAATGCTCGTCCTCTTCTGATCACATTATTTTCACCTCAACTTTATTGTTTCCTTAGTCCAAACCCAGATCTAGTTGACTACTAGTAGTCTTCTTAAAAAAAATATTAAAAAAGGAGTTTAACAATTAACACTCACTAGATAACCGAATATTTGAAAAGGAAATATTAGCCGTTAGGACTCGCCATGTTAGAATTGCAACGGCTACTTTTCTCTTTCCCATTAAACTATCCGTTACGCTTTCCCTTCACAACTCATAAAACTCCTTCACTTCCTTCTAACTTTCATCACTCCCTTTCTATTCTCATCTCATTCTGCTTCGCGCACAGATTCCGCTTCAATTTCCCTTCACTCTTTTCTCTCCAACATCTTACACAACCAAAGGTGCACACGCTTCCCACGTTGCTCCCATATCAACACAACATCATAAATCATTCATTAATCATCTTCACTAACCCTAAGTTCCGGTTTCATTGTTTTTTTTTCTTTCTTGTTTTTGCTTTTCAGGTTCTGAAAATGAACGACCTAATGACCAAGTCCTTCACCAGCTACGTGGACCTAAAGAAAGCGGCGATGAAGGACGTGGATTTGGAGGCCGGTGTGGATCAAAACCAAAACCCTAATGTGGAATTAACCTCTTCCACGGCCCATTTAGACACCGACATGGGCCGGTTCCTGGAGGAGGCGGAGAAGGTGAAGGCCCAGATGGGGGCCCTCCGCGACATCCTTGGGAGGCTCCAGCAGGCCAACGAGGAGAGCAAGGCCCTGCACAAGCCCGACGCCCTCAAGGCCCTGCAGGGCCGGATCAACGGTGACATTGTCGCCGTTCTCAAGAAGGCCAGGGCGATCCGGGCCCAGCTCGAGGAGATGGACCGTGCCAATGCCGCCAACCGGAGGCTCTCCGGCCTCAAGGATGGCTCGCCGGCCATCTACCGGACCCGGATCGCCGTCACCAACGGGCTCCGCAAGAAGCTCAAGGAGCTCATGATGGAGTTCCAGGGCCTGAGGCAGAGGATGATGAGTGAGTACAAGGACACTGTAGGGAGAAGGTACTTTTTTGTACACATATTCTAATGGTTATGTTTGGTTTCATATGTTATTCGCAGAAGCTACTAGTTATATTCTAATATGCTTCACCGACACTTTAATTTGCTTCATGTTACACAATCTTTTCTAGCCTCGCTATGGAAGACATAAAAATATGTATGATATGGAAACATAAATGTATTAATTAACTCTTGATGCACCAAAAATAGAAATTGTTGTTTTTTTTTTTTGGATGATTTCAAAAAAATAATGAGATTAGTTCTATTTCTACTTGTAGGCAATAAATAGAAAGTGATTTATGATGCAATGTTTTGAAAAAAATATTTTGTTTTTAGTATTGTGCGATAAATATGCTCTTAATTTGGATTTGTAGAATTGCAATTGTCACGTTCTATGAATATTTACACATATCTAGATTGAATATGTTCCTATAAGTGGTTTATGATGATGATGATGATGTATAATTTTTATTTCGTTTCTAGTATTGTCCAAGCTCTTAATTTGAATTTACAGAATTACAATAATGTATTTGTTATGTGTTGTGTTATAAATTTTATACATATCTAGACATGTATGTTACAGATATGATAGTCTTTCTTTGATTAGTTTGTATGGTATGCATATGATAATCTTGCTATTTTGCAAATTTCACCAGGTACTTTACTGTGACTGGGGAGTACCCAGATGAGGAGGTGATTGAGAAGATCATCGCCAATGGGAACGAGGAAGAGGTTTTGGGTAAGGCCATACAGGAGCATGGTAGAGGGAAGGTTCTGGAAACTGTGGTGGAGATTCAGGACAGGCATGATGCTGCTAAGGAAGTAGAGAAGAGTTTGCTGGAGCTGCATCAGGTGTTTCTGGACATGGCTGTGATGGTTGAGGCACAGGGTGAGAAAATGGATGATATTGAACATCACGTGTTGCACGCTTCGCATTATGTTAAGGATGGGACCAAGAGTCTCCAGGGTGCCAAGGAGTACCAGAGGAGTAGCAGGAAGTGGATGTGTATTGGGATCATACTGCTTCTCATTCTTATTCTGCTTGTTATTATCCCTGTTGCTACCAGTTTCAGCAGTTCTTGAAATTTTAGAGATGGGCTTTGGATTTTGGATGATTCTTCTTGACTCATCCTCCGTTTAGAGTGCCAGATGGGGGGTATGAGAGATCCCATGTTTCTATGTTGTTTTGTTTGGAAATTTGTTTAATTGTTGTAGTTAAGGTTACCTTAACCATTTGATTTTCTATCTTTCCAAAATTGAAATATAATTGAATCATGTTTTTGCGTACATAGTTGTCATCAACCAGGCACTCAGTTGTCATGACCAAAGCATAATATTGCTTCTTTCTCAAACCAAAAAGTATAGAAAAGTTGCAATCAGGGGACAAATATTTTACCTTAGACTTGCTTCAGTAAATCAATTATATCAGTAACAGAATAGTCGCTTGTTCTCTCCAAAGGTCTCTGTTCTCATAAGCAGTTGATTCTGCGACATATACAAGGACTTACCCAAAATATTATCAGAATTGCAATAGCAGTTGAGCATTACTATAGCAATTCTGAAATTTCTTTTTCGAGTAAGTCCTTAAATATTTGGCAGGATCAAACTACAACAAATATTTTTGCAGATTAACATTTATGAAATATGTAACAACAGTAAATAAATTTGGAGTTATAACCTTTGAAGAGGCATCAAGGCATCTCTGCATTTTCCCATTTCCCATCTCTTTGGTTGAGGGAATTGAGTTATATATAACACAACTTATGGCTACTTGTTATAAATGATGCCAAATTTATGAAGGTGGACTTGTGCTATTTGAGATATAACTTTACTGGCTTCAGGTAAATGATGTCAATTCATAACCTTAAATTACAATCCACATAGTAAGTAGCATCATAATCAGCTCTCAACTGACCTGTCTGCAGTGGGAGAAGAGATTGTTGTGAACCTTGACAAAGATAGCAAGCTCCATTGGTGTGTGATCACCAATCTTAACTGTCTTCATCATTAATTTTCTCCTTTTTCTGAGGAATAAGCACCATTAGAACAACTTGGCTAATCTCTACTTCTATTTGATTGGTTAAAAAAAATCAAAAACCAAATCTAAAATCTAATTTCTCAACTAATAGTATCTTTGTTTTGGCAACCAAACATCCTAAGTTTGACTACGATGAATTTGCACTTCATCATATAGACTCCTTGAAAGTGTGTGTATATATATTATTTCAGCAAAAATAAAATAAAATCAATTTCTCACTTGATCATTCTTGGCATCTCATTATTTGGGCTCTTGGCTTATCAAAACAATACTATAGCAACGTGCACACCCTTTCCTTTACACTGATCTCTCAATTTGGAAGGTATAGTTAAATTAATCTGAAAATTAAAAAAATTGTCCAATAAGTATTAAAAAATCAATAGATTTCTAAAATATTAAATAAGTCCTTAAATTTAATTACTTATTGTGATTTTAGTTCTTAAATGTATATTAATATTATCATGTTAGTAGTTTTAGATTAATGTGATTGTTAATTTGCATCTTCATGGATTTATTTTATAATTTCTTAATTTTCATGACTAATATTACACTGACTTATTAAGTCAAAGACTAATGTGAATATTTATTTTATTTTATTTATATAGTTATTAGTGGGTTAAGACACTCCATACTTCTATATTTATTTAAAGATGTTTAAAAATTAGTAATGCTTGTTAAATCAACTGATATTGCGTCTAATCCTTAAACTTCAAATTTTAAATTTGAGTCCAAAGTTTGTAAAAGTAGTTAATTTTTAATATTATTTTTTATTATTTAAATATTTAAAGGTAAAATAGTCCAAAAATTGTATACATGAAAACATGGAATCACTTTTATATATAAGTATAAATAATTTATAGAAAATAAATACTTTTGAATATATAAATAATAATATAATGAAAACTCATAATAAATATTTTCAAACATATATATTACATTTAAAATTATAATAAAATATTTTATATTGTACACAAAGTAATTTTTCATTATTGTTAATTTTTTTAAAAAATATGAAAATTTAATAAAAAACAAAAATTAAAAAAATAATTTGAAAGAACGGGAGATAAAAAAAAATCTTGGAAAAAATACATTAATTAAAGAAAATCAACTACAAATGTTATTGTTAAAAAAAGTGTAAACACACTCTCCTTCAATATAATTATTTGAATAAACATTCACTTTGAACTTAAAAGTGTTATTGTAACAACCCAATTTTCATAGAATGTATGAGGGCCCAAAAGCCCTATGAGGATAATATAGTAATTCACAGGGGTGTTTTAGTAGCCCAGAACGGGCCGTTCCAAAATTGGAACGAGCTGTTCCAAGTTACTAAAACGAAGGTGATTTAGTGGCTCGGAACGGGCCTTTCCCAAAATGGAACGGGCTGTTCCAAACTATTAAATTTGCCTTTGATTCTTAGTTGGAAACGGGTCGTTCCCAACTGGAACGGGCCGTTCCGGATTTCAGAAATGGCTTTTGAACCTTATTGAGAACGAGTCGTTCTGGTTTCAGAACGGGCCGTTCCAAAATATGACCGTTGAGAGTTTTAATGCAAACTCCAGAACGGGTCGTTCTGGTTTGAGAACGGGTCGTTCTGAATGTGAATTTTTACACATGACATGAGATTTCAGAACGGGCCATTCTGAATTTGAAACGGGCCATTCCGGCAAAGCTTGATGCCTATAAATTGAGCTCTCTGCCACTCCCAAAAAGCACACCTCTCATTTTCTGATTTCTTTTCTTCTGCTCTCTCTTCTTTCCCTCTACTTTCTGCTTCAGACCGAGGCGAACCCAGCGGGGGAGAGCAACTAGATCTTGTGTAGGTTCAGCTTCTACATATCAAGGTACGGGAAAAAAGGGGATTATTTGTATGTAGAGTTACATGAGGGAATTGGGTAGAGGAAAAGTCCCTTAAGATTATGAGTAATTTTATAATTATTTTTGTTTGAGGAATTGTTGATCCCATTAGATTTTACATGTATTGAGGATTAGAAATATATATTTAAATTGTAAGAATGATGATTTGGGAGAGAGAACGAAATTATAGAAAAGTGTCTGTAAGCTAGGTTTTGGAAAAATTGAATTATTTCTGTTTGAGGAATTGATGATCCCATTAGATTCTGTATGTGTTGAGGATTAGAAATATGCTAATAATTTGTAAGAATGATGATCTGGGAAAGATAACGAAATTGTAGAAAAGTGCATGTGAGTTAAGTTTTGGAATAAATGGAGGTTTTACAGTTTATGTTAAGATTATATTAAATTGGTAATTTCATTGATTATTATATTAATTTATGAATGTTATTGTTATATTACTTGTTAAGAATTGATGATCTAGATGTAAATTGCTTGAGGGGTGTGTAAACCCTTATTTTGTTGGACTTATCTGTTGTGTATGTGATATGAAATTGTGTATGTGATATGAATTTGAGTTATGAAATGAGATGTGTGGAATGTGAATGAGATGTGGTTGTGGATCCTCATACTGATGACCAGGGGTGAGCACGGCCCTAGACTATTAAAAAGGGTAGCGTGACCTTGGCACAATGTTATGTCAGGGGTGAGCACGGCCCTAGGCTACTAAAAGGGTAGCGTGACCTTGACACAGTGTGATGTCAGGGGTGAGCACGACCTTAGGCTGAAGGGTAGCGTGACCTTGACATAGTAAGATTTGTGATGATTGTGACTGTGATTTGTGATGTTATTGTGGTTCCTCACACATATGACCAGGGATGAGACGAACCTTGAGTAAGTGATGCTACAAGGACGAGCGTGCCCCTGACATGATGTGGGATGAGTGAGACAATTAATACGTATCACTTATGTCTAGAGTGGCACGACCTTGAGGTGGCGTGACCATTGACATATTGTTAATTGCAAAATTTGTGATAGACTGGTCTGATTGTGAAATTGTGATGTGAATATGATGCATGATTGGTAGAATTAGAATGTATGAATATGCTTGTAAAGACTTCAATAATTGATGAGATTATGTTGTGTTTTTCCTTGTGTGCTTTACATATAAATGTTTTCTTTTCTCACCGTACAATTTGTGGATGTTTTAGGTGAGGAAGATCTGGCTTTGAGTGACATCTAAAATGTCAACTGTTGAGTTGTGAGTGTGCTCTGATATTGTGACATCGGGGCAGAGAATTCTAGGATAAATTTTTATATGTATTTAGAATTATACCTTCTCTTTTGAAAGCAATTTGTAAATTCTCAAGTTTTACTTTCTAAATTTCATTTTTAATTATTTTGGTTATTTATGAAGGTTTTATGTGAACTCTTTTTTACCAACATTGAATATTTTATTCTTTAATTTATTTACAAGATTTATTTATATACGTGTTAGGATAGTAAAGGTATCACAATTATTATATTAGTTTTTGGAATTAAAAAATGTTAAATAATTTTCTTTAATGTTAAATAAGTTTTAAATGTAACTACTGTTATTTTAATATCTATATATATATATATATATATATTAATATTATCATTCTAATCACACGTTTTATTATTTTAAGTTTAAGTTAATACCACTAGATTTATAGTTTTAGGACATATTTTATAATTACTTTTTATTTTAATTCAGGAACAAACTAAGTGCATACTCATAATTATTTCAATTTATAAGCACAACAAAAATTTATTTATTTATCTTTGAATACATTATGCAAGGTATGTCTAGGTAATGTATAGAAGAGTATATAGAGATATATAAATTTTAGTGCAAAATATTATTTGAATTTCAAAAGGTGGATATTAATAATAATTTTTTATTTATAAACATTATTCATAGTGTCTCAATTTTTGTTTATCCAACATTATTTATCATAGATAAAAATTGAAGTTGGGAGCATCAAGTTAAAATTATATTTCATAATAAATTAGTTTTTGAAGTAAGAAAATTATGATTAAATTGTTAAAAGTTTTAATTGTTTTATTTAAGTTTCTAAAAATACTTATTATCACTTTAATTTTTAAATATATATTAATATTATTATTTAAATAACACGTTCTTTTAAATTTTAGGAGTAAAATAAATAACATTTTACACTTATTTTAAAGACTAAAGTGATAACAAATAAACACCAAAGTTGTTTTACCTATATTTTATTACCTCTCTTCCCGTTCCACCTTATTCATTTCTGTCATTTTATTCTTGTCCTAGCTTCGATCCCGTGAGCGAAGAAACTATGACTCACGAACGCTCTTTGTAGATTGAATTTTCTCTTCTACGTTTGAAGCCACACAAGAGCAATATTGAAATACACATAGATAGAGTTTTGAGACTGCGAAGGAGCCATTAGCGACAATGTTGAGGCTCTTCGATGCGCACTGCCACCTGCAGGACCCAAGAATCCTAAGCAAGGCACCGCAGCTCATAAAAACCGCCCAAGACACGGGCGTTGCGTACTTCGCAGTTAACGGAGTTTCCGAGCAAGATTGGCACTCGGTGAAGCACTTGGCTCAAACGTACCCTTCCGTCATTCCTTGCTTCGGTCTCCATCCCTGGTGAGTAACTCACTCCAATCGCTTTTGTTTAACCAATTGCGGTTCTGTTGAAAGGTTTTGGGTCTGATTTTATTATGAATTTGTAGGTATGTTAAAGAGCGGAGTCCCAATTGGTTTAAGACGTTGAGAGAATATTTTGATTCTACTCCCTCTGCTGCAGTTGGAGAGGTAATTGTGTATGGGTTCCATGTGTGTGTTGTTTTTTTTTTTTTTTTTTTTTTTAATATATATAAAATGGTAAAAAGGGGATGATGCTCCCATGACTACGGGATAGAGTTTGGTAGAGAGCCAATGGCATGTTGGAGATTTTTGGATCAAATATTACTAACCACTTTTTGTGGGTAGGTTCTATGTGTAAATGCAGGCAATTGTTGCATACTTTTTATTTGTTTATTTTTTTTTATAGGTTTAATAAATTAATTGTCCCTAAACTTTTTTGGAAAATTTTAATTAACTCCCTAAACTTAAAAGGTCTGTAATTAGATCCCGATCTTTTATATTTGTTGTAATTGAGTTCAATTGTTACTTTTGTGACAGTTTGAAACGGTCACAAATTATTTACAAGGACTCAATTACGAAAATTGAAAGATTAAGGAGACTCAATTACAAAAATTGAAAGATTAAGGAGACTCAATTACAATTTTTTTAGTTTAGAGACATAATTAAAATTTCTCAAGTCGAGGGACTAAGTGATGTATTAAACCTGTTTGTATTTGTTGGATAGAGTATGCTTTTGGTTCTTAAAATTCATGTAGACCTTCAATATTTATGTGCATATAGGCACATTCATTCACTCTTAATAAATTTATAGATGAAATTTCTTTTCCTCTTCTTTTCATGTATCTCTAAGTTAATATTTGATGCGATTGAGTTTTTGACTTTTCCTCAGATTGGCGTGGACAAAGGATCCCGTGGAAGGAATATTGATTTTACTGAGCAGGTTTTACTCGTCATTTTATTTTTGGGCCATATTATGTATTTTTCTGTATAATTTTGAAGCTCTTATAAAGTTCTCTTAAAGCAATATGTAGATGCACCTATTTATCTATCTATCTATCTATTGTTTATGCATGTGTATCTGCAATTCTGCATGTAATTACTGTGTTGGAATTATGGTGTTCTTGGTGTAGAGTGAGAGAACAGGGAGAAAAGAGACACTAAATAATATTCACTCTTGTATTGTGTTGTATTACAATATGATGATGTTGTTTATACAACCTAAATCAGTAAGCCATAATTATACTAATAACTAATCTAATCATAATACTAACTAATAAGGAATCAAATAATAAGATATTAGGAAATACGGAAACTAAGAAAATAGGAAAACTTGTTCTAACTCCTAAGAGATAATCTCTAACACACCCTAAAGTATTCTATGGCACAATCTAGATATTATTGGATACTCTAAGACATGATCAAGATATTATTGGATAATTTCATATATTCTACCATACTTTAATATTAAGTCATCCTTATGGAAACTGTATAAAATGCAATAGATGATCAGATAGGTAGATTCACCTATTTGATTTAACTTTCAGGTAAGCTGAGTGTATATGTGTTGTTTTATCTCACATCATGTGGTAGCTGGTTGGTGGTCTATGCTGATGGAAGTGGCTTGGAGAAGTGATTGTTGTTCTTTTTCAAGTTCCATCCATTGTCCAATCTAGCTCTTGGAGGTTCATCAATGGTTGAAAATGGCGGAAGCAAGACAAGCCTCAAAGCTTGTAGAAGCCACTCAAGTGGTTCGATTCTTCTCAAAGGAGAAGAAGAAATGAGAAAAAGGGTATAAATGTTTCTCACCCTCACTTCGTCGCTACTTAATCTCAGCCGATGTCACCTTTCTTGAGTCTTCTCTCTACTTTTCATCTACTTCCTCTTCTCCTACACCTGTCCTTGCCCCTTCACCCTCACCTCTTGTCTTTGATACTCCTCCTGTGTCTGCTGTGTCACCCGATCCACCACCTCCGCCTCCACTTCAAGTTTATCATCGTCGGCAACGCTCCAACCTTCCCATTGGACCCTCACCCGACTCTACTTCGGTGCCACCTCCTCCGTCTCCTCCGGCCCAACCACTTGAGTCTGACCTCCCTATTGCCCTTCGGAAAGGTAATCGTTCTACTCGTAATCCTTCCCCTCATTATATTACTCTGAGTTATCACCGGTTATCCCCATCCCAATATACTTGTCTTTCTTCTCTTTCTTCTGTGTCTATTCCTAAAAATGTAGGTGATGCCTTGGCCCACCCTGGTTGGAAACAAGCCTTACTTGATGAACTGTGTGCTCTTCAGAACAATGGTACTTGGGATCTTGTTTCTCTGCCTCCTGGGAAGTCTGTGGTTGGATGTCGATGGATCTTCACAATCAAGGTTGGTCCTGATGGCACCATTGATCGACTCAAAGCTCGTTTGGTCGCCAAAGGTTATACTCAAATTTTTGGATTAGACTATAGTGACACTTTCTCTCCTGTTGCCAAGATGGCCTCTGTCAGATTATTCTTAGCCATGGCTGCTCTTCGTCGTTGGCCTCTCTATCAACTGGATGTTAAAAATGCCTTTCTTCATGGGGATTTGCTTGAGGAAATTTATATGGAGCAACCTCCTGGGTTTGTTGCTCAGGGGGAGTCTTCCGGTTTGGTATGTCGTCTCCGCAAATCACTTTATGGTCTTAAGCAGTCTCCAAGGGCATGGTTTGGTAGATTCAGTACTGTAGTCCAACAGTTTGGTATGACTCGAAGCGAAGCTGATCATTCGGTCTTTTATCGACATTCCACTGCTGGGTGCATCTACTTGATAGTGTATGTTGATGATATTGTTCTCACTGGTAGTGATCATCATGGCATTTCTCAGATAAAACAACATCTTTGCCATCACTTTCAGACAAAAGACCTTGGTAAACTTAGGTATTTCTTGGGGATTGAGGTAGCGCAGTCTACAAATGGAATTGTAATATCTCAAAGAAAGTATGCATTGGATATTTTAGAGGAAACTGGGCTAATGAATTCCAAGCCCGTTGATACACCTATGGATCCTAATGCTAAACTTCTACCAAGTCAGGGGGAGCCTTTCTCAGATCCTGAGAGATATAGAAGACTGGTTGGGAAATTGAATTATCTCACGGTAACTCGTCCCGACATCTCTTTTGCAGTTAGTGTGGTGAGTCAATTTCTCAATTCTCCATGTGCAGGACATTGGAATGCAGTCATCCGCATTCTGAAGTATATCAAAGGTGCTCCAGGAAAAGGTTTATTATATGGCTACAACAATCATACCCAGGTTGTGGGATACTCAGATGCAGATTGGGCAGGCTCTCCCTCTGACAGGAGATCCACCTCAGGTTATTGTGTCTTTATTGGCGATAACTTGATTTCGTGGAAAAGTAAGAAGCAGAATGTAGTGGCAAGATCTAGTGCAGAAGCAGAATACCGTGCCATGGCCTCTGCTACGTGTGAGCTTATTTGGCTCAAACAGTTGCTTAAAGAGCTGAGATTTGGCGAAGTTTCACAGATGACTCTCATATGTGATAACCAAGCTGCCCTGCATATTGCCTCAAATCCAGTATTTCACGAGAGGACCAAACACATTGAAATAGATTGTCACTTCATTCGTGAGAAGATTTTATCTGGGGACATTACTACTCAGTTTGTTAACTCTACTGATCAGTTGGCAGATGTCTTCACCAAATCATTACGGGGTCCTAGGATTGATTATATTTGTAACAAGCTTGGTGCATATGATCTATATACACCAGCTTGAGGGGGAGTGTTAGATATAATTTAGTCTTATGGGCCTAGGCCCACTACTTTGTATTTAAACACATCTCTAGAGCACAATATACACAAGGAATATGTTCTCTTCATTCACCATCACTCTCAATAAGAAACCAAGGCACAAAGGAGAAAGTCCTTTGTGAAGGTTCCCAAGGAAGAGAGTTTCTCCACGGTATTGGCTCTTGGAAGAGAGAATTTTGAGTGAAAATTATGTTCATTAACATCCAAAAGTGTCTACAAATGAAAGATTTAAGAATATATAGAAGTAGGAAGCTTGTGGAGGAAGCTAAGCTTAACCATGGTTCAAGTGAACCATGGTTGGCTTAACTTTGACCGTCCACTCTAGTTTAGGAGGTTTGTGGAGCAAGCTTCTATCTTAGCTTGCTTCAAGCAAGCTAAGTTAGAAGCTTGGTGCACAAGCTTCCCAAAGACACTAAGGCTAGAAGCAATTTTGGCCAAGGAAGGAAATTAGGCAAGCTAGGCGGCCTTGGACTCTTTTTGCTCCATTAATCCTTTTCAAAAATGTTTGATTTGGTTTAGTTAGGTTCATCCAAAAATGGTGAGACCTAGCTAAATCAAATCCTTGAAAAATATGGAACCAAACAAGTCTAATATGTAAAATTTTGCCTAGGTCCAATTCTGGCTTAATTGCTAAACACAACCTCATGCCTTGCTATTTGTCACCCCACTTCTACTACTGAAAAATTTAAAAATGGTTGGCCTTTAATACAAGATCAAATGAAGTAAAAGTCTCTAAAGAACCTACTCTACATTTCCTATACAATGATGAATGATCTATAAAAAAGAAACAAAGTGCCTCACAAATACAAAGGCAAAATAAACCTATACAAGTAACTACTATATTTACAAACATATGAAAAGTCTTCAAAATCATCCCATTCCTCTTGGTTCCTTTAATGTATCACTTTTTGGATTCCTTGGCCTTGGCATATTTCCATCATATGCCCTGTACCTTTTTTCCCCCATGACCAAATTTCTTTTACTGATGCTACCAAATGCTCAAAAATTTAGTCAGGTTGCTAAATTGACCAATACTATGAGTGTTAGACTTTGATGGATCAAAAGAGAAGAGTTACTTGACAGTGAAGTAGTGCTTGAATACCACTTTTGCTTGGTATTTTAAATTTTAGGCAGATGCTGTATTTCTGTTGGTAAATTACTTTTTGAATTGTTTTACAATATATCATGGATAAATATTTAGTTGTTCTATGTAAACCTAGTCTTTCATTTGAGTGTGACATGAACAAATTGCTTTAATATACTACAATTCTTTCACTATATTCTCACGTATATGTGATGTGATATGCTTGAGAATATTTATCTTATATTATGGTTGAATTATTTAAGGTCCAATTTGTTACAACTTCAATTTAGTGGAGAGTATAATATTGCCAAGTTATTTAATAATTCATCGTAAGAATTCTGTTGGGAAGCTGCCTTGATTGTGGCCACTCCTAGCCCGCCTTAGTTGGGGCCTCTTTGGGGGCTACCTAAATTGTAAGTCTCGAGGGTAGTGTCTTAGTCTCACATTATCTAGACTCCAGAGATATGGCTTAATTAAAATTTATAAAGCTTGGGCATTCTTCACCGCACAAGCTAATTTTGTTAAGTTGAGTTACACCCAAACTTGAATTCTAAGATAGTATCAAAGCCTATTCTAACGATTGTTGTGGAGCTTATCCGATCACATGCTATTAGGCCGTTATTGAACCATCGCCAAAGTCTAGTGTTGCTAATTTCAAACTCGAGATATTTAGTCCTCGATGTGAGAAGAGTGTGTTGAAGATCTCATATTGACTAGTGATATAATCTGACCAAAGTAGTGTATATAAGTTAGTTTTGTAGGATTGAGTTAGACTTTAAGTTCACACTCCGATTGAAGAACCCATTGTTTGTGTGAGACTAGGACTGGGGCCAGTTCCAAAAGCACCAGCCCCTAAGCTCTGATTTTTTGGTTGATTAGTATTTTGTTGGGCCATGGTTATGTTGATCACCAAAGAACAAAACACGCCCAAATAAAAAAAATAGAGAAAAGAGAAAGAAATGGAACAGAAAAAAGAAGTGGAACGAGAAAAAAAAGAGGAAAGAAAAAAGAAGAAAATCACTAGAATGAGAAGATAAGACAAAAAAATAGAAGAAAAAAGAAAAAAGAAAAACAGAAAAAATATTGAAGATCAAAGAAGAGGAATGGAGAGTCCGAATGGAGAGAGAGAGAGAGCCCAAGAAGAGGAAGGAGAGAGAATCGAAGAAGATGAGAGTCGTAGAGAGACTAGGGTGGTTCGTATGAGAGAGTTGGATAAGACGAGAGCCTAAGAAGAGGAACAAGTCGGAGAAGATGAGAAGAAAAGAAAGGACTTACAATGTTCCACAAAATGTGTAGAGAAGACCTGAATGAAAGGCAAAAATACCCTTAATGAGGTATTTTCTGAGTATTTAAACTATCGCTCTGCTTTGCCGCACTACGCCCACTCCAGCTGCTATATAAAATCGCTCAACTCCAAGGTCCTTGTAGCAGCATTGAGCCACTTCTCTCTGTCACGTCGTGCCTCGATTGTGGTCGCTACAACCATTATTAACTACTATGATTATCGTATTAGAGTCTATCCAAGATCTATTGTTGGGCCACTTGCATTTGCCATGCTCTAGGCTGATAGCTTAGGACGTGAAATGTTGAAATTGTGTTCATGCTTATCCTACGCTAATTGTGACTTCTTTGGGGGCTACCTTAATTGTAGCCTCAAGGTTGGTGGTTTAGTCTTACATTAGCTAAAGATATGACTTAAGTAAAGTTTATAAAGCTTGAGTAGTCCTCACTTCATAAGTCGGTTTTGTGAGGTTGAATTACGCCTATAAATAAATTCCAACAATATTTTCTACCATATCTTTTAAAGAGCTTTTACACATAAATAAATTCAATTTCCATTTCCCACTTTAAGCAAGAAGCTATACATGTAGAAGTTCTCTTTCAATATAAATATCCATTTGCTTGTGGAGTATTTTGAAATGTAACTGATTACTTATCTAAGTCTTACATACTGCAGTTCAAGGTTTGAAGCCCAGTGGATGCACCTTGTGGTTAGAGCTAAGTTGATACCTGAGTGGGGGGTTAGTTCCTCACCCGTTTAGGTCTAAGGGACACCTTATGGTCTTTCCCAAAGAATAAAGTACTTAAACTTAGGCTATGAATTGTCGGTGGAATGATTGGCCATATTTTGTTGCTTCAGACCAACATGATTTTGGGATCAGTTCACAGTCTTGGTTCAGGTAGGAGAACTAAAAGCATTGTATGTACATGAAATTAAGCACTATTTCTTAAGAAATTTGGATCAAGAGCAATTTTATTAATGACCCCGACTTATATTGTCTGTGAAGAAAACAATAAATTAAATTTCAAATTGAATTTGCAGCTGGGTTATAACCTAGAAATTTTGGCAATTGTGAAACTTGTTGAACATAAGTGAGAGATTGAAGTTTTTTCTTTGAAGGTGTTGACTTCTGAATATTAATGGTTGGTGTAATTTTTGTTTATCTCTTAGCCTTTACTGCCTGAAGTACAAGCTAATTTTCAAAAGACTATAATAAGGCATAGCATATAGGCTACAAAATGGATCAAACTACAATTTCTCAAAGAACATTTCTTTTCTTGATATACAAGGTTATCCTCAATATAGGAGGAGGGCTAATACTAACAACACACTTTCTAAGGCTCTCTTTTTAACATATTTCTTTTTATCAGTTAAAATTTATTGAAAATTACAAAAATTATAAGCGAGATTGATGGAAAAGCATGAACCAAGGGTCCAACCACTAGAGCCATGGCCCAGAAATTACAGGAAGATTTGACTATTTTAGAGCTTGGTGGGCCCAATGGGCTTGGTGGGCCTAGGGTACTCTTCACATGGGCTTCACAGTGATCCACCTCATTTGTACCTAACTTTGTAGTGTAGGATTTATATGTTTTGGTCTTGTATTTCTGAACCACCTAGATTAGGTTTTTAGGCCATAGGCTTAGTGGGCCTATTTTTGGGCTTTATGGGTCTTGTGTATTTTGATACCCTATATTGGGTTCATTTTGCTTCTTTTATTATTTTCTATTGTTTATATTTGATTGACCATTGTATTTAGGCCTTTAGAGTAGGAAATTAGAGGAAATACTAAAGTAGGCAAGATTGGCTAAATTTAGGTTTCATTTAGAAGCAATTTAAATTGAATTTGGGTCACATGTTTTAAGCCAAGGGTGGCTGCACATATGATGACCCAAATTCACTCTAAATGCTTTCTAAATGCAACTTAGATGCATGATTGAACCCAAATTCACAGTGATGCACATGGGTGGCCGAGAATTTGAATTCAAATACCATTTGAATTCAAATTCTTGGTGCCAAAGCATGGCTTGTGAATGGCACCAACTATGCCAAGTCTTCTAGCCTATAAATGTCATTCTCCTTCACATTTTTGAACACTTTTGATATGTGAGATTCAGATCATTTTTCTCAGCAAAATACTCTCTCAAAAGTCCTTTTCTCACGCCTAGTTCTTAGGGTTCCTAGAAGGCTTCTAGATAAGAACTTTGCAAGCAATCCTTTGCTCATTTGGCATTGGTGCTTCCTTCACATTCAATTTCGTGATTCATTCATCTTGTTTTGGATCTTCACGTCCATAATTCACCTCAAGGAGAAGATCAAGGAGTTGGAGCAAAGCTAAGGGAGGATCATCAATCACTTTACCTAGCTTTGCCATCAGAGATTCATTAAATATGGAGTGGGATCCACACATTTTTGTGATTTCAAATAACTTTCAGCCAATAAAATAGTTGTTATAAAGAGTGTGTTATTAATATCTCTCTTCTATAGAGAATGATTATCAAAATTTTGTTGTTTGTAATGCTAACTCTATAGTACCAAAGAAAGGTATTTACAAGGTGTTCTTGCCTTCTTGAATTTGTCGAAACTTGGATCTATTGAAAAGAAAATGACACAAAGCTTGAACTTCAATATGAAACATATTGACCGATCACATATCCATGATGGAAGATGACCCTTTTGTGCAGAAGAATGTTACTTAGATTGTTGGCTACTAATGCATTAGGATATCTGTGCAGGTTGAAGTATTGAGGCAGCAACTTGAACTTGCAAAAGAGTTGAACAAACCAGCATCTGTTCAT